GTGAAGAAGGCTGTCTTCAAAAAGAACACATTGTGTTTCTAAAGCAGTATGTTTATTTCCATAAAGAACTGAAATGATTGCTTTTTAGTTCTTTTAATATGCTGGATATACGTTTGAGGTGGCAAAATAGAGACATATGGAAACATAATATTAATATAGTTTGCAACCAGTGATGTATATCACAAGTTTAGTTCCCCAACCACATTTTAGCAAAAAATTAACTTCCAGTTTTTCCCCTGAAAGTGTCCTTGCCAAATTTCTACAAAGATTTTCTTTCTTAAAAGTTTCCATTTGCTGGAGTTGAATCTATAAAGCTATATTTACTGGCAAAGGCTGGAATCTCTCTTCAGTAAAGCTTCTATATTTGTAAAGAAATCATCATGGGTACCCTTGCCGAGGTTATAGTCATCTTCATAAAAACTTTAGAATTTCCAGCCCTGGCCAGTTTGGCTCAGCAGTTAGAGGATTGGCCTACAGTCCAGAGAGACCCGGGCTTGGTTCTCGCTAAAGGCATGTACCTCGGTTGTAGTTTGTCCCTGGCCCTGGTTGGGTCGTGTGGGTGCCAGCCTCTTGATGTGTCCCTTTCACGTCGATGTTTCTCTCTCTCTCTCTCCCTCCCACTCTATCTGAACAAAAAATGGAAAAATGTGCTCGGGTGAGGATAAAAAAGAAAGAAAACTTTTGAGTTTCCATGAGAAATTAAGGATCTGCGTTAATATAATTTACTTAAATACAGAAAGTGGATGGTGTTAGCAAAAATGGTAAAATAAGAACATTTAAAAATTTTCTCTATTAAAGTAATAAAAAAAACTGGTGAAAAATGTGTTTCGAGATTAATTTTTTTTCAGAATTCTGTAAATTAACCAAAGGATTGAAGCAATCTAAAGTATTTATTTAAAAAAATGGCCAAACCTTGCTAAGAAAAGCAAACTTTGTAGCAACTGAACTTGCTATATTTCCACTGTTTGTACCCTTTTCAATTTCCAGTAGCCATGAAAATTAACTGCCTACAATAATGGGGGGAAAATGTACCCTAGCAGTCACAGGAGGGGGCAGAAAGAAGTTGGAGTTCCTTTACAGCTTATTTTCACAGAATTGTCATTATTTGACATGTCTGGAAGATTCTACTTGCAACAGTGTCTTTATCTGATTTTATTTTTAGCTCACTTGGTGGGAAAATACTTTTTCTCAGAGCATTTGTCAAAAACAATAAGAGGCAATTATTTAACTTTTGTGGCTGCCTGCAGTGGTGTATACAGTTGAGGAAAACAATAGGCTAACCAAACAGCTTAACAAGAAAAGCTGAGGAATGAAAAGCTGAGGACATTGAAAAGTTCCAAAATATTCCTGGAAATCTAGAAAACACATACATGTATAGAACTATGCACACACTCAGAACTATGTGCATACTCAGGAAAGTTTAAGAATGCCCTAAGCTTTTGATTCTGGCAAGTTTGAAGCTCTACAGGAGAAGAAACTAAAGTTTAAGCAAGAGTTTTAAATTGCCTGGTTGAGTATTGAAAGTATGCCCCAAAATAAACACATAACTCCTCAACAAAGACTGAGAGACTTCTTAGTTCTAGCTGTTTAAGGAAATCTTAGTTCATATATTTGCTGCCCACTAAATTAACAGAGCAAACTTTAGTGGCCGTGCATGACAAAAAATGCAGGCTTTATAGATTTAGATCAGATAAGTCAGTTAACAACGAGAAATAACAATAAACCCGGAGGAAAAAGAATCAGATTTCTAGTGATGACACATTATATTGTTTAGAATACCCAGTTTTCAACATCAAATTATGAGACAAGCAAAGTAGCAAAAAAAAATATGGTCCATACACAATGCAAAAAAAAAAGCAATCAAATGAAACTCCCTGAGGAAGTTCAGTCATTAGACTTCCTAGAGAAAGAATTTAAATCAGCTATTTAAAACAATATTGTGTTGCCCAGCCAGTGTGGCTCAGTGGTTGAGCGTCAACTCATGCACCAAGAGGTCACTGGTTAGATTCCCAGTCAGGGCACATGCCCAGGTTGTGTGCCAAATCCCCAGTGAGGCACATGCAGGAGGTGGTCAGTTGATGTTCTTTCTTATCGATGTCTCTCTCTCCCCCTCTTCTTTCTCTAAAATCAATTAAAAAATTAAAAAGAAAACAATACGGTGTTTTCTCAAAAAATTAAAAATTGAACTGCCATTTGAACCAGTGATCCCACTTATAGGAATATATCCTAAGAAGCCTGAAACACCAATCAGAAAAAATATATGTATCCCTATGTTCATAGCAACACTATTTACAATTGCTAATATCTGGAATCAGCCCAAGTGTCCATCAATAGATGAGTGGAAAAAAAAGCTGTGGCACATATATAAAATGGAATACTATGCAGCTCCAAGAAAGAAAGATCTCTTATCCTTTGAGACCACCTGGAGGGACCTGGATAGTATTATGCTAAGCAAAATAAACCAATCAGAAAAGACAAATATCACATGATCTCACTTATTTGTGGAATATAATGAACAAAATAAGGTGATGAACACAATAGGTCCAGAGACACAGACTTAGGATTCAGACTGACAAACCTCAGAGGAGGGGGGCAGAGGGAGGGAATAGATAAGCCAAAGAATGGATATGCATATTTGCATAACCAATGGACATAGACAACAGTGTTGTGAGGGGGTGGGGCAGGATCGGGAGGAGGGTGTCAATGAGGGAAAAAGAAACATCTGTAACAAAAATAAATTAATTATTAAAAATTAAAATAAAACTTTCACAGTTCTTAGCTTAAAAAAATAAATCAGCTATTTTAAATATTTTCAAAGAACTAAAGAAAACTATGTCTAAGAGGAGCTAAGACGTAGTATAAAAATAAAGTCTTGCCAAATAAAAAATATAAATCAAATTTGAAGATATGTCATTTGAGAAAGAGTATAAAGATAAATGAATAATTTCTAAGAACTATAAAACACCATCAAGTATCTCAACATATTATTATTAATAGGTGTGTCAAAAGAAGAGGAGAAAAAGATGAAGAAAAAAATATTTGAAAATATAATGGCAAAAACTTCCAAAACCTGATGAAAAACATCAATCTACACATTTAAGAAACTAACCAGCCCTGGCCGGTTTGGCTCAGTGGTTAAAGCGTTGGCCTGTGGTCCAGAGAGACCCAAGTTCGGTTTCTGCTAGGGGTGTGTACCTCGGTTATGGTTTGTCCCCAACTCTGGTTGGTTGTGCGGGGTGGCAACCACTCAATGTATCCCTTTCATATCGATGTTTCTCTCTCTCTCTCTCTCTCTCTCCCTCCCACTCTATCTGAACAAAAAATGGAAAAGTATCCTCGGATGAGGATAAAAAAAAAAGAAAGAAACTAACCATACTCCACGTAGGATCAATTTAGAGATTAATGCCTAGATACATCATGATAAAACTGCTGATAATCATAGACAAATTGAGAATTTTTAAAAGATGGAAAGAGAAATGATTCATAATGTACAAGATTTTCAATAAGATTAAAAACTAAGTTTTACTCAGAAACCAGGGAGGCATGGAGGGGATGACATATATAAAGTATAGTAGGAAAAGGACTAGCCACCCAAAATTCTCTATTTAGAAAAAATATCCTTTGAAAATGAAAGGAGAAATCAAAACATTTCCAGATAGACAAACACTGAGAGACTCTGCCACTTTCAACCATGCCATACAAGAAATTCTAATGAGAGTCCTTTTAGGCTGAAATAGAAGGATATAAGACAGTCTCTATACTACATGAAGAAATACAGGGTACCAGGAAAAGTAAATACAGGGGTAAATATAAAAGTTTAAATGTACTTCTCTCTTGTTTCTTTCCAAATCTTTTTTCTCCATTTTATTTAAAAGACAGTGACATAAAGAATAATTATAAATCTGTGTTGAGGGGCACACAATGTATAAATATGTAATTTTTATGATAACAGCAACTCAAAGTAGGGAATGGAGCTATAGATAAGCCAGATGTTATACACTATTGAAATGAAATTAGTTCATCTAAACTAGATTGTTATAAATTATAACATTAATTATAATCCCCAGGTGACCACCGGAAAGAAATAATTAAAAAATATATATGTTTTTGTTTGCTTCAGTCTTGCTTGGCATATAAGGAGCTTGGAAGTTGTTACTCCATCCCAACAAAAAGGGAAGAGGTAAAAAAAAAAAAGGAAAAATCGACAGGTCTTCTTAGATCCAGCAAAGAAGTGACAAGGGACAAACCTTTGCTTACAAAATTGTAGAAACTGACAGGCAAGGACCCAGAATCACAACTTACCAGAGCAGAAACCTCTGCCGGAATCAGTACCAGGCTAGGAGAATCTGAATTGCAATTGACAAATTGCTAGAGGTTCAGAGCGGACAATTTTGAGTGTAAAAAAAATCTCCAGAGGTGGACAGTCTTAAGCCCCCACCCCACACAATTTTGTAAGTTTTGCATCCAGGCCCTCACAGAGAACATCAGATGTGCTGGTTGTTAGAAATACAAAGTCCCTTATGTATGTTTTACCTGTGAAGGAAGTTTAGTTTAGAGCAGAGGTCAGCACACTATAATTCACTGGCCAAATTGTGCTGGCCACCTGTTTTTATAAATACACAGAATAATGGCAGTAGGAATAAAGAGAGTTGACATGTTTAATATATATATAGTTCCACATAACTTATGAAAATATATCTTTGATTCTTTTTTTAACTATGTAGCATAGCTAGTGATGCTTCTGGTTGAAACTCACTAAATATTTGTTAACAGAAAGTATTAAGTCCTAAGTAAATGATGTTTATTTAAAAGGGGAAGAAAATACGTGCCTTCTATTAGTCCTTAAAATCACTGAAATATAAGAATTATGATGTTTCACCTACTGCCGTAGGGTGAAAAAAACCCGACTTGGCACTTTTTCATTGTTTTCAATTGTTTAGATGTAAATGTCTATTAACAATGCAGTTTTATAAATGAGAAATGGTTACAATATACTGTACCTGGAAAATTCATAGGCAATTCAAATGGTTGTGGAGATTCACACCCTTCAATGTGCTCACAAATTTCAGCCATGATCTTTTTAATTTTGAGACCAGTAATTTTAATCACTTCTCCAGTTGAAAAACAGCATTCATTTCCAAACATTTCATAAATAGAACCTGAAAAAAAGAAGAGTAAAAACAGCTCTTAAAAAATAATTAAATCATGACGAACAAGGTAGGAGTCAAAAGCCTCATATGAAGTGCTTTTTATTCAGTTCCTCTCTTAGCTACCTACTAAAAAGAAATTTCATCAAGCTTGGCAAAATGTACAGCATGTACCAGGAAAAATATTAGATTTTTACTTTATCCACTGGGCAAGGTAGAAACAATCTTATTTTTGTTATTATTGTAAACTGAATTTATGGTTTCCTTAGAACCTTTAGCTCATCTTTCCAAGGTCAAACTACAAACATGTCTTTCTCTCTTGGGATTTATGATCTATTTCTGCAGGGTCACAGAATTAAGCTTATATGAGTCAACAATGATCTAAGTAAGTACTGCAAACAAGGTTGTAACACAATTCAAGATCCAAAGACAGAGGGCCTGCACACCAGGGCTTTATATTTGGAGCATCATATCTATTTCTTAGACCTGGTTCTCTTCATCATTGTGAATATAAGGCTTTTGTCCATTTTCTCTCTTGATTTTTGACAAGGTGGAAACTTTTAATATCTTTATGGCAATAGGGGGCAGACCAGTCCAGCCAGATAAACTGAAAGGCTTCATTTAGTTCATGATTTCAGTCTTTCCTAACAAACCTTTTATTGTAGATGCTAAAACTAAGCTTTTCACTCATTTATTTCCCTTTTATATCTCCTGATGGGAGAGGAGCAAGCAGTGAAATGACCAAAAGATGAGCAACAAAAAACAAAAAGAAGAGGCAAAAATTCTGGATAATCTACCCCTAGTAAAAAGGGAACAACGCAAAAACTACATCTTTGGGATATTACTGATTTATAGTTAAACAGTAAATAAACTAAAGTTGATATAAATAAACATTACAAAATTGTAAGGTTTAGAATATATCAATTTTTCCTCACCTCCAACATGATTTATATTATTTTTACCACACTAAAATGTGAACAATCTAAACATAACATTTTAGGTTTGTTTTTGTTTCCTGAATTTTTCTCTATTAAACTACATCCTCCTAGAATCTTGTCTGATATATAGCAGGCACCTAAAATATTTTTATAGCATTAATGGTTACCATAACTTATTAAGACTGATATCCAATCTAGCTTTAAACAACACTGTGATTGTATCAGAATCTCAATAGAGATCAAGGGGAACACTCAAAATAATTTAAGAAGGTTTTAACAAAGGGGCAATTTACACAGAGGCACAGTCAGTTCTAGGCAACACATGGAAATAAATATCCTGATCTTACTGTTCTCCCTCCATCTGATCCTCTGCCAGATCACCTCACTCGCCAAATTCAGCCAAGAGCCAGAGGACAAAGGAGGGGCTGACGCCCACATGGAAATCATCTCCTCAGAAGAGTGAAAATGATACTCCAGCACACCAAACTTACTGGAAAATTCACAACCATTTGAATTGCCCATGAGTTTTCCAGGTACATTGTTGAATAAGAACCATTTTTTGAAGACCTACTAGTATATCTGCTCAAGTTTTAGTATGTATTTCCCTAACTCCTTTACTTTTCCATACTTCTCCCCTAACTACATGTTCATGCTTTTTATTAACTCCAATATGTAGTAATGTCAGCCATCACAAATCCTTTGTAGAACAAGTTGGAATATTAAAAAAATAATAATAAATTCATAATGACATTTTCCTCCAATGAACTCAGAATAGTTCATTTCTATGATCCTCATTTGGCAATTAATCACATACTAACATTTTACATCTTCAGTATTATCTCATCCTGTACTTAACTTTTTATGACTTTAGTTTTTATTACTCCCAATTCAATTTTAAGCTTTATGAAAGAAAATATTGCATTATATTATTGCATAAGTATAAGAGACCAACTTCTCCTATTCATTTATTCAACAATCTTTAATTAAAATCTACTGTACATTCTGGTATTGTGATTGACAGTGGGCATCTAAGATAAAATGCATAATCTCTCCCCACCCCGAACACACACACAGAAGCACTGTCTTGAAGGGAACAGACAAGTAAACAGATATTGCAACAGATTATTCAAGTTATAATTTAGGAACATAGGGCATTGTGGGAGGATATTGGAGGTATTTAATTAAGAAATTACACAGGAAAGAGATTAGGGAAGGACTCCTGGAGGAAATAACAGCTGAGCTGTTTTGAAGGAAGCCTAACATGAGGTCAGGATAGGCAGAGGAAACAGTATTTGAAAAATCATTGAAATATTATACATTCTGGAAATTTCAAGGAGCTTGTTATGTCTCAAATGTAAAGAAAGGGAGTAGTAAGAAGGCTAGAGAAGTAGAGGGAGTCTAGATCATGAAGCATCTTTGTGAAATAATCAATAAACAAAAGGGCCAATAAAAACCTGAAGCAATCTTAAAGTCAAAGAACCTACATTTTCAGTTATCAGGGTCTAGGAACTAATGCCAATTTAATGAGAAGACATGTGTATCTAGGTGCTTGCTATCCAAAGTCTAGTTAGACTCTTAGCCAGACCTCCAACCTGCTGAATCAGAACCTGCATTTTCAACAAAACCCTCAGATGATTCATAAGCACATTAGCATTTGCAAAGCACTGGTCAAGGCAAAAATGTATAAATGTCTCTGTTCTGAGACTGTTGTAGAACCAGAGAAGGAAGAACATGCCCTGTAGAGGAAGCAGTCAGTGCTGTTGAGGTAAAGGATGTTGAAAATGAAAACAAGAAAAGAAAAAAACTTTAAGTAGGAAAGTGATATGGTAAGACTTTTCTTTGCCACATAAAACAGAACACAATGTAACCTATTCCGTTTCCGCTGAAGTTTTGGGCTTAATTACATTTTAACGAATATTTAATTGTAGATGTAATGTATATCAAACTGAATAACTTGGAATTCCATCCTTTTCAAAGGATACACTGGAAATCAAAATTTTAAAAATGAATTTATGTGAGATTACACAAACAATTTGTGGGAGATAGAAACTTGAGAATTTTATGTGGAGAAAATTCTGTGGATTTTAGTCAACACACAGCACACACAAATCTTTGGACTCTTCAGGTCTCTTTCCAAGCATGTCTCTCCTTTAGGGAAAAAAAAGTCACTTCTTTTAGTAAAAAAAAAAAAAAAAAACCCAAAAATCCAAATAGAACTTCATAAAAATAATACCAGTCTTTGACATTTATCTGTCTTTGTGACTTTTAATTTTCTTTAACCAAGAAAGTTGTCCATTCACTTTTAATAAAGAGAATGTCAATAATGGCCAACACCAGAAAGTCGTGTTCATGATAGGTGACGAGCATAGCTGGTACTTAAAGGGGTCTCATACCTTATTATCAACTCAGTGTCTCTTAAAATATACATTTTTCTCAATAAAATATAAAATGATTAATTTTAAAACAACTCAACTTTTTCAATCTCAGAACAAGCACACATATGTATGACTACTTTTAAAAATTTGCTGAGATGTGGGCCTGAACTATTTGTGTATACACATAGATATTAAAATTGTTTTTATTTCATTTTAACAAGACATGTACTTTGAATATGCAAATCTATTAAACTTTACAGACTGATTCTTTCCAAGTCAGAGCATATGTAATTCAAATAATGCCAAACATCAGAGAAAGCCGAACAAAGCAGCCTGTTCTCAGTGATCAAACATTGCCCCTGAAGGCTGTAATGAAAGAACCATGTGCCTTTGAAATCACCTTCTCTAATGCTACTTTGCTCAATAGAAATGACACATTAATATCCTTTTATGAGCTCATCTCTTATTTGACAATTCATATAAGCAATACTATGATCACATCAGAAGAGCCAAAACAATTGGTTCAATGCGTTTTCTTCCATTTCCTCTACAACGTTAAAAATGTATGGCAGATAGGGTGGAGGAAACACACCATTTAGAGGTTTGTTTTTCTCCCCCTTTATTCAAGACTCACCCATTCCCTCAATTCCCTACCCACTTCCTCAGTCACAACAGTCCACTTACCTCTTTATCCCCGCATCAGCCTGTCAACAAAGTTTAACCAATCCTAAAGATTCAGATCATATTTCTGGTTTTCTTCCCAGCCTTCCTTGATCCCCACGCCTCAGTGAGAATTAATTCTTTCTCCTATTCACTAATAGCACTTTACTTGTAACTTCATTATAGACCCTTTAAGATTATTATGAGGGTGTTATTTTCTAACCATGAATATTATGTATATTTTAGAATTTATTATGCGTTTCTATAGAAAAGCTATCTCTTAACTATATTTATGCTTGTCCTCACAGACACTGTTAGTAACCCAGTTTTTGTCACTTAGTAGATTCTTAGTGAATGTTGAAGTATTTTTAGTTTTACTGTAAAATCACAAGAAATTATTTTGAATAGAGTAGTAGTCTTTCTACATCCGCAGTTTAAAGCATGGTCAACCCAAGGCTTTGGCATGGTTTGTATCTTCATTTGGTATGTTTAATATCAAATGTACAAGCATACGTGAGAGCAGCTGGCAGTCCTGTGAATTATCTAGACAGGAAACACTGGGCAGGTAGCTCTTCAATATCAATCTCTACTTAAGTTTGCCATTTTACAACTATGTTTAGTATTTTTATATTTGCTGGATGTGAGGGTGAAATGAAATATAGATGAAATGATCTGAGATAGTTTGGAGTAGTTAAGAAATTACATCTGTAAAGTTTGCTGGATATTGTATTATAGTGTATGAAGAACCACATCAGACTGGTGTTGCCAGCAGAGTTGTATCTTTACTTTACTTCTCATATGTAGGTATAATTATTCCTTAGAAGGCAGTGAAAAAATAGTAAGTATGAAACAATAAGCTTGCAGCTTTACTAGAGGTAGATTCAACTACTTAGACATTGGATATAACCCAAAGAGGTATATCTGAACATTGATAGGAAATGATCTTTCAAGGTCATAGAAAATCTCTTACTCCACCTCCGAAATATCATTATAGAGACAGAAAAACATTGGCATTTGGTAGTAAGAAAAGTGCCCACAC